AATATCCACACTGGTGCGGTGACTGACTGCCACACATACTCCTCAAAACATTAGATTAATCCGCGCCGACGCACAACCCATGCAAGGAAGATAATTCCGCAAGTAACTGCAATTCCAGGTTTTCAAACAGAGATGGCGACAAAGAGGCAAAATTTACGCACTGCAGCTTTAAGTAGATTTTACTTAATTCCATACTTAAATTTTACTTAAAATGTGTGCAAAAAACTTGCAAAAGAAAAATTAAGTACATTTTACTTTGTTTTTTTTTCAGTGTATAAATATGATATTGTCTTAAATGTGGTGATGTTGTTGAAAGCTCAGTCAAGTCAGAAGAGCAGACCAGTGTCTCAGAGAAGCAGTCAAAGAAAGAAGACTGACATCAGTCAGGACAGGTACAACAGAGTTCTCTTCATTATCAGATAGTATATTCTGGCTTGTGCCAATACTGTGAATTGTTCTGCATTATTCCTCCAATACTTGCTTAGATGTTGTGCTACAATGATGGACTGGTCTGGAATTTTTTCTATCACGTTTCCTTTTTTCCCTCATTTTGTTTGAGCCAATTCAACAGGCTGACCGCACATTAGATATGGAGACTGATTTTTAACAGCGTGGCCCTTTTGACTTGACATGTTTAGATTGAAAGTCTTTAAGGCAGCTCTACTGAAGGCCTTTAAGGTGACCCGGTCTCAGTCTGTGGTGGTGCCTGATCTTCTAACTCACATTAACAAAGGCCAGGACGAGGAGTTTGACCAGAACGAGATTAACCTTCTGCTGGAGCGCATGCAGGATGACAACCAGGTCATGGTCTCAGAGAATGTGGTGTTTCTCATATAGAGTAGTGCCAATGGACAGCTGCATCTCTTGAAAATTCAGGAATTTAAATTACATTGCAATTATTTATAACATGCCAGCACTTTGTACAGACTACAACATACCAATTATAAACTGTGGGAGCATTAATTTCATTTTTATTTATTTATTTATTTTTATTTTGCTTTTACATTTATTCATTTTGCAGACACTTACAAACTTACAAATGAGGAATACAAGAAGAAATTCACCTTAAGGAGGCAATGACCATGAGAAGTGCTAGTAATCTAGTAATAATGTTTCTTGGGAATAGTACTTATAAGGTTTTTTCTTTTTTGATCAGAGACATTTTTAATGCAAGTTATGATTCAGTCACTCCAGCTCAGTAATGAAGACACAATCTGGCAAATTCTGGAAAGATTTTTCTCTCTCTCTCTCTCTCTCCATTGAGGCTTCATGATGTATCCTGCATCTCATGGGGATATTTTAGTCCATGGTCCTTTTAAAAGGAACTCTGGGGTTCTGCAAGAGAAAATTCAGTTTAATGGGAGCAGTGTTGAGAAGGTTAATTTGGAAATATAATAGGTTACAGATTACAAGTTGCCCTATTTAAAATGTAATAAATAGTGTATCTATTTCAATTGCTTTATTAAAGTAATGTTACTGATTACATTTGATTATTTTTGATTACTTTTCTAAATTTCGAATGTTTTCAATGGTTAATCATTTTCAAACATTTAAAGGGGTCATATGATGCGATTTAAATTTTTCCTTTCTATGTAATGTTCTTTTTAGCAACGTCATATGACCCCTTTAAAGCAGGCAGGGTTAATCTTTCAGTAGTACTCAACACTGATTACTGTCAGACTTTCAAAATCCTTCTTCACTTGCATTAAGATTATGATCATTTCATTTTAAAGCACAGCCACCTCAATATCAGACTTTAGCACCTCGACTTACTTTGAGATCATTCTGAGGTTAAATACTGATTTATAATTATAATAAGAAACCATTTAATAGCTATGATACTGTTTTTGAAATCAAATCTTTGCATATCTATGGCAGGAAACACTGATATCTAATGATTCCTTGGAAAAGAAAAAACAGTAAACAAATCTTAAAAAATAAAACATATACATAACCCTAAATAGGAAATAAGACATTTGTCCTATTCTGTGTCCTAAACTCCTGAAACACTGGAGTCTCATATTTTAGAGAAGTCAATCATATCTATGTGTGTGAAAATATTCAGATAACCCCTTTGTAATTGTTAACATTTTCATAGGTAACTGTAATTTCATTACACATTTTTTCTCAGTAACTGTAACAGATTACAGTTACATTTATTTTGTAATTAAATTACGTAATTCCGTTACATGTAACTAGTTACTCCCCAACACTAAATGGCAGTTACTGTACATCCATTTACATTTAATAATGAATAATGGTAGGCCTACTATTATCAAGTGTGGGAGGAGAAAATTGGTATTTGGATACAAACAACCATCTGTCTCTTTGGCTCCTCCTCTGCATCACGGTCATAAATCTCTAATTGCAGGTCTCTGATTTTTGGTCTCCTGGTCTTCAAAAGTCCAGTCACATCTATTGATGAAGTTGAAATTTAAAACTCTTGTCATATTTCATAAGAATTTCACTGGCATTGAATAAGAACTGCAAACCTTCAAGGGAGAGGAGGAAGATGGCATCATGTCCTTTAATAAAGCTTCGACTCTTCAGACGATCATGTGTGATGTAATTGCTGGTACCGTTACCCGGCCCCCGGTAGAATTTACTGCCATCTGTGTCAATGACTAGACTGCCTACTTTTTGTGGGTTGTCCCAGAAATACGTAACTTTACCCATGGCTGCACAAAGAGAAAAGATACTATTTATAAAACATTTTTGTGACCTGTGCTGGCAAAATGAGTCACAATGAGCAAGTTTTCAAAAATGAGTGATTTTTCACATTTCACATTGTCCATTAAAAGGCCTTCATGAATTGTTGTAATCAGATGAAAATGACTGAGCTACACCCTTTTGAAGTCGAAAGAGTCAGCCGTGTGAGGCACTTTTTATTATGGATGGATGCGCTTTATTACACTTCTTTTGGACTAATGAACTGCAATAACCGCTGACTGCCATTAAACAGCTTGGAAGATCAAAGACAATTTTTAATATAACTCCGATTGGATTCATCTGAAAGAAGGAAGTCATATACGCCTAGGATGGCTTGAGGGTGAGTAAATAATGGGCTAATTTTCATTTTTGAGTGAACTATCCCTTTAAGACCTACTGTAATGCACGGATCTAATGTAATTTTACACATCAGATGTTTTTCCCCAGCAGTTCCATAAACGTTAAGGAACTTGAGACATAACAGATTATGTTTGCGTGAACACTTTAATACTGTAATCAAAGCCACTAGAAGGCAAGCCTGCAACCATTAGCTAAAAGAAAAAGCGGAATGGCTAAAGCTAACGCTTCCGGTCTGGCAGTACGTGGGAAAGGAGACCAGAGGCCGTTTTTTTTTTTTAAATGGATGTCAATGGAGCAGTGGCTTCACTACGTAGAATAAACAGCTATTTAAAGGAAACGGCTTATCTGCTAATCTTCAACATGTTTTACACTAAAGAATACTTTTGGATTGAACAATTTTTAGAGTTTACCACAAAACAAATGCCATTTTATGAGAGAAGTCACTGACTTTTTGCGACAGCTGGGATTCAGTTTATGGCACTTCCCATTCATTCCTATGGTATCCGTAAACGGCGACTGAGTGTCGTGCAACTCTGACTGAAATTCAATGACATCAAGGCTGCAATGTGATTGGTTATTAAGGGACACGTAATCCAAGTTAGCCGTTACGCTTTCTCCAATAGTAAGTAATACAGACCCTCTCATCTCCCTACAGTAGGACAATCTCTGCTGTAATTCTGTGTATATTTATCGGGATCGCGCGCTACCGGAAACACCTTTTATGCAGGCGCTGCGGATGACAGTCAGTGCAAGAAGTGAGTGGAGAAAAGGTCCCCTCAGAAAAAAATGAAGATAATTTTAGATGCTTAATTACTATTTGGAGCATTGGGATCGCTAGACAAGGGCTTAATGAACTCCTTTTTGTGAAAACCCCAAATTTGACTAAAATCTACATTTTTCACTTTTTTTTTTTTTACCCGTGCTCATTCTGACTCATTTTGCCAGCACAGGTCGCGTTTTGTTGACTTTTATCTCTAAATAATCTGTAACCAAGTATCTGTACTTAGCACAACAGCATTAATGGCTCATAAAAATGACTAATATCTATAACTTTGTGCCTTACAGTCAGTGGAGGTCTTGGTTGGATCTGTAGTGATCATCCTAATGTTGTTCATGCGATGTTGGATGTCTGGATTCTGGTCCGTCAGCTCCATGGATGCCTGACGCCACGGACATGGCCATTGGAGATTGTTGTCTTTGGGTCCAGAGGTTAAGTGGAAGTAGATTGCCATTTTATTTGGACTATCCTTCAAGCCATTAATGTACAAACCAATCTGAAATGAGTAACCATCTGGGGATAGGAAGCGAGGGCTGTAGGTTTCGGAACCGGCAGGGGTTGTAGCGAGAAGGCTGGTAAAATCACGAATGCGCCAAGTGTATTGAGGACACTTGGTCTCTGAGAGGTTGATGTCATCCAGAGACAGACCACTCTTTGATGGTTTTCTTCCTTTAACTCCTTCAAACACCACTCTGAATTTATCAGAGACATCTAGCGTAACATGGTATAGTTCCCAGGAGCCTTGAAGTCCACCTAGGTTGTACAAGTATAAGTTACCCATAGGCTAAAAGGATTTATCTATTGGTGTTTTAAACATAAAGAATTATTACCACTGATCTTCTGAATGAGTCTCAGGGCTCCTTTGGGGTTTTCAGCGGTGTATTCACGCACCCAGATGTTTAGCTGGTCATCAACGCCCCCACTGTTGTAGTGATAGAACTGCAGGCATTGGGAGCGTCTTTTGGGGTGAAAGAGGCGACTTTGCAGGTAAGCCTTGTCACCCTGGGTTCCTGTGGCTGTGCTGAAATGCATGAAGAACCCAACTCCTGTGGAAGTATAAACTTTATTAGATAATAGACCATTAAGCCAGTCTTCTCACTTTCTCTTTGGACCTTTATAATGGAGTTTAAAGATGATTTTACATGTCATATTGCAATCCTTGACAAGAAATGTCTAGAGAACTTCAAAGAATATTTTCTTATGGTATCAGTAAAATGTGTTTATCATGAAGACCAAAGTGCCACCATCATAAAAGAGGTATCAGTGCAGGATTATGGACTTTGAATTATTCAACTTTTTGTGACACCATCCCATTTAACCCATTTGTGCCCAAATTTTTCTGAATGGTTTCATGCATATAGTCATATTAATAGTGTCCTATGTGAACATGTTCAGCATTTATTTTCCCCAGGTTTTAGTTTTTTCAATTTTTCTTGAAAATTGTATTTGAATGTGCGGCAACTATAGTTGCCCGTGGGAAAATATGTTGTATGCACCCCTTCAATGTCAAATTTGAATAGGAGGAGAACTTTTGGCATCTAACTCAAAATAACTGCTTTCAACAGATCAATCTTTATTCATAAACAAATTTATCATGCATAAAAGTCGAAGAACATTCAATGCAAACCCAAAAAAAGTTGCATCTAGCTTATAATCGCTTGAATATGATAACACAACAAATCCATTTGTATTAAAGTGGAGGAACATAGTGCAGAACAAAGTGCAGCCATTAAGTTGCCCCAACAGGGTATTGTGTATCAAAAAGTTAAATGAAAATAAATAAATAAAAATAAATAGAATGAAGAAAATATTACATCTATACAATAAAAAAGGTATACCTGAAAGAAAATTACGAATTTAACTGTCTGGTTACCAACATTCTGCAAAATATCTTCTTTTGTGCTCAACAGAAGAAAGAATCTCATAGGTTTGCAACTTGAGGGTGATTAAATGATGACACAATTTCCATTTTTGGGTGAACTTTCCCTTACGTAAGCAGTTTTAGTATAAGTAGCCTACAAGTAGCCTACAAGGAGTACTGCAGTGAAGGTACAAGTCGTTTTATAAATTTACATAAACATATTTCCATGTGATGTAAATATGTAAAATATCACATATTTTATGAATAGGCACATATTGATTAGGTCAAATGGATTAACCC